ACCAAACGTCCCCAACCACAACCATGTCATGTCGACCAACCCCGGCCGGACGCACAGCGGCGCGGTGAGATCCCGCACCGTGTCCGGCGAGCATCCCGGTCCGTCGCCCAAAAGGCGGGCGGCTGGCAGCGTTTACGCGCCGGCTCTTCGATTCGCGGAGCCGAAGCGACGAACGAGGCTGGAGCGGTGGAAAAGGGACGCGCGACCAAGCTGTCTGTGATCGCGAGAGCGGACGCTCAGACCGTGGCAAGGAAGCGGCGCGCCGGGTCTCTGGATCCGGACCTGATCCGCGAGGACTACGGTGCTCTACTGCAGGACGAGTTCGCCAAACACCACGCGCGGTGATGAACAAACAGATCCTCTGCTGTCGTGCTGTGTTTGCTCCAGCGCAGCTCGAGTTCGCGTCACTGATCTCGGGTGCTGATGTGGGAGGGTCTTCGTAAATCTGCTGTTGCACCTGCTGTAAAGCCCCCTGAATGTCGTGCTCTAAGACGATGGCATGTAAAGGGAGCCAGGAGGTGACGTATACATTCCAGTGGAATTTTATTGTATAGCCGCCAATTCATAACAGAAGTTCAATCTCCAGGACACTGATATATTATGTATATGATACGGGGTAAGCTACTACTACTGATGTACCTATATATTTAGTATCTATGATCTATACGTACTTTATATATATATATATATATCATGAATCCTGTTTCTTTGAGGGATTTTTGAGAAGGGAAAAAGTCATAAAAGATCATTCTGAAAACTGAGAAATCCTAGAAATAAAAGCTGACAGCTGACTGAGGTTTGACCTCTCTGCTGTTGATGCCAGAATGTCTTTATGAGCTGATTCAATCACCATGAAACTACCAGAAAGACTTAATTTAACCTCGTTGTCTGATGTGATCAGAAATCTTCTGGGTGAAAGGAATCTGATCTGATGTGACTTATTTTGGGTTTGAAGTTGAAGCCAGATATTGTGATTGCAGTCTGATTCATGAGTAAAAAGGATAATTTTTGCATCAATATTTTCATTTTCACTGACAAAACAAACTATGATGATGAAATATTTTTTGGGTTCTGTGCCAAATAAACATTTTCTTAAATCTGGAGAACAAGATTTCGTCTCTGCAGCTCCACAGTATTTCATTATAATGCTGCTCTGTCACATTTTACTTTTTATCAAACAAATCACAGCTGCTGCGATATTGCAACTCGCAATATTGTGATTTTGATAAATTGTGAATCCCTATTGATTGGCAACTGTTTAATAATTGATCCATTGACTTTTTTTAATGATTTACTCCTTTTTATCTCATATCAAATGTTTTTTTTGTTTCGTACTGGAGCCGACGCACAATTAGTCGAGTAACTGATAATTTTTAGCAAAATGGCAAAAATTCACAGTTTCTACCATCTAAAATGTGAATTTGTTTTGGCTTAGTTGTTTCGGACAGTTAGGGCTGAAAGTAAGTTGTTTGGTCCATAAAATGTAATAAAATTGTGAAAGATATTGATCAGTGTTTCCCAAAGCCCAAGCTGACTTCTTCAAATGTTTCATTTTGTCCACAACCCAAAGATATTCAGTTTACAGTCATAGAGGACTAAAGAAACCAGAAAATATTCACATTTGAGAAGTTGAAATCCGACTACCCATCACAGTTTCCCAAAGTCCAAGTTCAAGCACCTCTTTTTGTTCAACCAAGAGTCCAAAACCCAAAGATATTCCATTTGCTATCATGAAAGACAAACAAAACCATTTTTATCTACAGAGGGAGCCATGTTGTTCCGCCATGTTGAACCGCCATGTTTCTACAGTAGCCAATAATGGACAAACCAATCGCAGAGTTCCACGGCCACCGTAGTTTCTTCTACATGCTTGGAAGACGAGTAGTATTCAAGTTGGTTGCAATCTTGCCAAAATGTAAAGTTCAGCTCTAATTATAATTGAAAGGACTAAAAACTTAACTTGGAGTCTTCTGGGATCCTCCCGGCATTTGAAGCAAAATTTAAACACAATCTTTGGAGGTGAAACCTTTAACCTCTGCTGCTGGAGCTAAATGTAGCTGCGAGACTGCACATGTGCACCGGCCTGCAGCTGCAGTTCCTCCATTATTCATTCAGCCTGCAGGGAATCATCATGTTTCAGCCGAGCTCGCTCTCTAACGTCGACTTCACCGTCTGTGTTCGTGTTGCTGACCCGACACTGACTCCACCTGTCCCACTGTCCTCAAACACACCACTGAAACTGAAGATAAGGACATCAGAACAATAGTAGCGTCACTCTTAAACAAAGACACATTTTTGCTGTTTTATCTTTTTATAACCAAAGAGATACAATCACTATGCTGTTCATGCTGACCTCACTGGGCTCTTTTATCTCTGTAAGCATCACTAAAACATTCCTGTAAGGAGATAAGCCCGGTTTACAGGTAAACTTAAAATACTGGGAGGCTTTTTTCCACCTTATTTATATCAATAAAAGAAGAGAAAATAATAGAATTATCTCTTTAATATAAAGCAATACAATTCAACAGACTGCAGACAGATTTATTGCAGGAATGTTGTATTAGACTGCATTAGTTTGAGCTAGGTGTACCTAATAAACTGAGTGTACATCTTTACTGTTACATTAGTCAGATAACTTCATGATCTCTTAGTAAGTAAATGTCCTTTTTGTCTCATATGTACAGGAAGGAGTAAAACAAGGGTTATTTTTATACAGTTTAGAAATATAAGATTTGAAGTCTAAACAGCAAAAGCACCAAATCCTCACTGGAGAAGCCAGAACCAGCAAACGTGTGGTACCATTGCTTGGAACAATGAATGAAAAAATAGATTATCAAAATAGTCACAGATTAACTTTCTGTTGATTGACTAATTGATTAAAAGACAATTTGTTTCAGCTCTAGTAGTTTTACTCCTATAGATACATTGTATTCTTATTGTATTCCCACGGAAACCTACTGT